TTACACAGAACATTCTTGACTTCTTTCTTGAGCCCACAAATAGTAGGGAGGTTTTCTTCAGACCTATTTTTTTTTATTTTGGATTGTAAAATAGAAGATAATTGAATATTTAGGGGTTAAGGAAGGAGAAGAGTTAGGGGGTTAAAAAAAAACTAAGAGCTGGTGATACCAGTGTCTCCTGGTCCCTCCAGTTCAGAGCACACACTGCTAATTGTATTCTGCCACTTGCTTACTCAGCTTCCTCCCATTTTGACAAGTTTTCATGGCTGGCTTCCAGATCTTATTTTTCTTATCACAAATTTAACTTCTGACTACTAAGGATTTGTTGGCTTGTCCTTCCCTCTGCCCTTGCCATCTTAACATATCCATCAATAGAGATATATATAATGCCTGCGAGGCCAGCCCTGTGCAAAAAAATCAGTTCAAAGGAATGATGTTCCCTCTTGGAAGGAGCATAGAGTCATGAGTCCTTCAGGGCTCAGGAAATGGAGACGCTAACAAGAGCCTTTTAGAGTCAGAGGAGGCTGCACCTAAGAGGCTAATCTTAAGTTGGGCATTTAAGAAAAGAGAAATGGACTCTAACCTGAGAGGTTAGGGTTTAAAAGCAAGACTAGACACAGTCATGCGGTTTGGAAGTACATTAGGGACTTGGTATCCTTTTGTAAAATGCAAATCACTTTTTCTACTGCGTAAGGCTGCAGTCAGGATTGGTGGTCGGCTAGAGAGGTGGCAACAGCATGTAGAGTATGTTGCAATGATCCCTCCAGAGCCCATGGCAGACTTTAAAAACCCTTCACAGCATTCTACCAGTGAGGCCAGCATGGAGCCACAGTCCTTTTGATATAGTTCCAGGCAGCCAGTAACACTCAGAGCATATAAACTGCCTAAATCACTTGCTCATGAATTCCTAAGTATTACCCCAACGACTCATAAAATGCCTGGTATAACCGAACACAAATGCAAACCTCTGCACTGAGTGTGTTGGAGACCCACCCCATCTTCAGCCCTTGGAGATTTGCAACAAGATTAAGACCTGATCTCGCTCAACGCTCAACGGTCATCTGCTGTATATTGTATCATCTTCCGACTTGTTAGCAGGAGACTGTTTCACCTTCAGTAGTTTACAAACCTCTAGAACATGGCTACTTCCCTGAAGTTTTCATATAGTATTGTTACCCTTCAGGACCTGAATAATTAGACAAGTACAGCAAAGAAGCCATGGAGTCTCTTTGTTTCCTTGACTGCATGTAATGTTTATATGTTCATACCTGGTATTAAGTGGCTGATTTAGTAGGTCAGGTACTGCCAGGTTGATGTGAACAGCTATGATTCTTCCTGGTGGCTGAGCACATTTATTCAGGCCTGTGATGTGGTAGCCTTAGGAGAAATGTTAAGAGTTCCATGGAGCAGGAAACCTGATGGAGTAAATGTGGCTGGTTAATAGATACTAGGGAAACTGTGACAGAAAATAAATATGATACATGGAACATTTCTAAACAGCCAGGTCAAAGTTGGTAGATGGTCTAAAACCTAGCAATGACCAGATTGACCCAGACTGGTTTGCTCTGGTTTTGACTGGGAATAGGTATTATTATTATTATTATTATTATTATTATTATTACTTTTGGAAGACAGAATTGACAAGTGTATATTTCCCAGCAGAAATCACAGGACCCTGAGAGCAGACTCAGTTACCCACTCTTGCCTTCAAGCCAGTGACATATTGTATGCTTGAACCAGTTGCCTATTTAAAAGTGACTGCCGGCTGAAGCAGAGCTTTGGAAAGAAACTATGCACATATCATACACTTCATGGGCCATTTTTCAAGCCAGATATTTCCTATCTTGAAAAATATAGTGCTGAAATAGAAAAGGCCTTTTGAGAGTACTTTTACTTACAGTTTTTTGAAACTGTTGTCTGGGAAATTTCTGCATCAGCATCATTTGCAAAGCTTGATTAAAATGCAGATAATCTGGTCTCCATCCAGACCCCCTGAGCCACACTGGTTAGCAGTGTGTGCCAAGAATCTGCAGGCTGAACTCCTAGAGGATTCGATGTATCCTGAAGTTTGTGAACCTGTAACAAATGTTACAGGTGGGGTCATTCGCCCAGTATTCCCAGGATGAAATCTGAAGACGTCTTGCTGCAGAATCATCCAGGTGCCAATAAAAATCTAACATTTCTGGGTCTCCTGCTAACCCTGAGTTGGGATTTCTTATGTATGATTAAGTTTGAGAAGCATACCTAGCTCACTGTACAGAGACAGAATCTGACCCAGAGATAAGAAGTGACCCAAGGCTGTCAATCAAGATGTTGGCAGAACTAAGATCACACCCAAATCTCCAGGCAAATCCAAACAGCCTGGGCGATTATTGCATGGCCCTAGGTAAAAACTATTCCAGTTAGCTATGTGGAACCACTGGAAAATAAAGCAGTGTCAGTTCACATAGCACTCTTCCAAGACAGGGTGCTTCAGGCCATTCTCTAAATGTGGTCTCAGGGGACTCCAGAGTGAAGTGGTTTTATGTCCAGAGAAAATGTTAGCCATGGTTTTGAGTCAAATGAACAAAGACACCTATCAATTAAGTGGACCCTTATGTATAGGCAGGTTTGTGTCAGATCTGGTCCAGACTCACTAGTGTGATTCCCCCCAAGCCAATACATTTTAGGTTCCAGCTCTATCTTCACTTCATCTCTTCAAGACTGTGGACTAGAACTCTTCCAGACTGGCATGCTCTGTCCAGGATCTACTGAGGTAATCTAATCATCGTTGACCTCAAAGAGTAATCTCTAAAATAATGCAAAGTAGCTTTTTTTTTTTTGAGGGATCAAGCAATTGCCATTGACAACAGTGATGTTGTATGATTTGCATTTGGGCTAATGCTTATAATTTTAGCAAGTGTTTCACCAGTGCTACATAATTAGAAAAATTAAATGCTGTGCCACCTTGAATACATAATTCTGTAATGAAACAGCAGACCTCTACAGAAATTCTAGAACTTCTGAAGTAGGGGGAAAGGGTAGGAAGCAGGGACAGGGAAGAAAAAGCTATAATCACACACTTACAATTAAAAAATAAATAAAAACAGTGGGAAGAAATCCATAATCCCTTATTTTCAATTCTGAAATCAAAAGCTCTGTAAAACAGAAGCTATTTTTTTTAATTTGCTGCAAAAACTCATTTGGAAGCAAAACCTGACCTGAACTTACATGAAATTAATCTTTAACTGTTTTAGTATGAATATTCAGACATTTTTTTTCCTGCAGAAATGTTAATGGCTTAATTATGGGATGTTTTCCCAGACACCACTGGGAGTGTTATGTAATAAACAGTACATAGCCTGTGTTAACTTTCTAAAAATCTGAGAAAAATTCAATTCTATAACAGTTAAATAACAGACTGAACCTAGATTAATGATAATTAACATTTGCCATCTGCATGAAGCTGGGCTAATGTCTATTCATCTCAGTTAATCTTCATAATAGGAGGTAGGTATTATAGCCATCTCTTATGTTTGGAAGCTGATTCCTAGAGTTTGAAAACAGATTGTCCAGTCACATAAGTCTTGCCAAGCAGGTAGTTGCTCCAGGTCAGTCTGACCCTGGAACTCACAGCCTGAACTGTCTTTTGCCGGGGAGACTTGAACAGTTGTGAAGGATAGTAGGGCTCTTGGGTTTTACTGCTTGCTTTATTCTTACTCTCACTGAAGGAAGAAGGACTGCTGCACAACTTGACATTCATACTTTAAAGAATATTCTGTTCTTGTTTGCTAGGTTCTCAACTTCACCTCTGCATCTTTCCTGTAACATCTAACTCATCTCCATGGCAACCAAATGTGACCTCAAACAAGGATGCCCGCTATCACAGCAATGAAGGGTGGGAATGGGACACACAGGGTCAAGTCCAATCAGAATTATTCCAATTTGGGCTAAATATGATCTAGAGCAGCTTGTCTCAAATGTCAGTGCATATTCAAATCACCTGGGAAACCTTGTTAACGTATCCCAGTAGGTCTGAGGTGGGATTTGAAGGTCTATATATTTTTTCTTTTCTTTT